TTCCCTCCAGAATGCCCTGCTGTTTGAGTGCTGAAACCATTTTCTCAGAGATCTCCAGTGATTCTGTGTCATATTCCCTCTGCGCTCACTTACCGATTGGTGGGGGTGTGTGCACGCACAGTCACCTACTTGAGCAAGGCCATATGTGCTTGTGTCTTTTTTGTACAAATCTGAGAGACAAAATTGATTTTTCTCTAGGACAGGGTGTATAGAGAAAAAGAAATTCAAGACCCAAGTGAAACATTCAAATCTGCCACTAAAAGGTGAGTGGGGGACCAGCAGTTGGCGTAATGGCTATGTCGCCGGACTCCCACGTAGTCGACCACGATTCGCATCCCGGACCCGGTGGCTTAAACTCACACCAGGCACATGTGTGTGCGTGCCCAAGATCCCGAGAGGAGTATGGAGGAGAAGGGATTGCGGTGTTGCCATCCCCCCTGGGGGAGATTTCTCGCTTTCTGTCTCTTTGTCTCTCTCTGTCTGTCTGGTGAGTGCACACGCCCTATAGCGAAAATCTCTCCAAAAAAAAAAAAAAAAAGAAAAAGAAATGAGTGGAGTTGGGGCCAGCAGGTAGGATAGTGGCTAAGGCTCTGGACTCCCTCATGGCTGACCACAGGTCACATCCTGGACCCAGTAGCTTGAAAATCACATGGGATACATGTGTGTGCATGCCTCAAATCTCAAAAGGATACTGGAGGCGAGGGGGATGTGGCATGGCTATCCCCTCTGGGGAATGATTTCTCATCTTCCCATTCTTTGTCTCTGTCTCTGTCTCTCTCTCTCTCTGGAGCACACATGCACACTATGGCAAAAATATTTTTAAAAAAATGATGAGTGGAGTTCAAGTATGATATAAAGGTAAAACTAACTAAATCCCAGGATAAGATCAGATTTTTTTTTATTCTTTTACAGATCTATTTATTTACTTAATTCAATTTGTCATTATTTTTTAATTTGACCAGAGTGAGAGAGAGAAAAAAAAAAGGGGGGGGGGAGTGAGATAGCAAACCGGCAGGTCCGGGACTCGAACTACAGTCGGCCATGGGGGAATCCAGCACCTTAATCACCATGCCACATGCTGGTCCCAAGATCAGATTTTTTTAAAAAATTACACTGTGTCTTCTTTCCTTCCTACCTCCACAGTGTCTGGAGTGTTCTTGCACTGCCGCAAGAGACTTACCTAGCTAGGCATTGCTTTTTAGCCCAGCTTCTGTCCAAAGTTGTCCTTACAAACCTAGCAAGGTGTTATCAGAGCTGGTGTAAGCATTGTCCATGGCTATTCCAAGAGATTCTCTACTCAGAAGGTGCCACACATAGTCTTGGACATCGTGCGTAAGACTGAGCCCTGCCAGTGAGCTAATTAAACTTTTTTTTATAAAGTTCCAACCTCAGCAGCAGAGTGGGTGGCTAATTTCCTGACTCACCTATTCGACTCATTTGTAGTCCCAGTAAAATACTCCCTCTTGTAGGACACACTGCCTGGCTTTATTTCGAAGCCGTTCCATTTCTTCACAGGGTAGATAGGAATGCGCAAAGTCGTAGCTTTCTCTTTCGTGTGGGATATCATTTATGAAATGAAGTTCAGTTCTTTGTTCAAAAGGAATCACGGGAATGTCAGAGCAGTTTTGAATAAAACTGGATATTCAATTAAAAGTCTTTCCTCTCCAAGGCTCAGAGCTCTTATTGGGAAAGGTACAAAGTTCACTCTCTAAGTGTAGAATAGACTCCATTACTGAGGAAGTGGAGAAAGGAACCTAGGGCCTCACATCCTATTTGTGAACCTAGGAAACCTCCCTGGAAGTAGGGTCTAGTCATCTGCAGGGCTCAAAATATACAAACAGCTACAGAAACACAAGTCAACAATAGAGTGGCCATGACAGAATTTCCGAGGACAGCATACCTTTGTTTATATTCCACAAGATCACAGCATAAGGGAAATGCTGTTAACTAAAACCCACAGCTGAAACTTCCTTGTTTTGGTTAGGTGCAGGCTCTAAAACGGTATCTAGCAAGGAGAACACAGCTTACTTAGCAGAAGTGATTGCTCCCCTCGTCCTACCCCCTGCAAAAGCTAAAGGTTATGGCAAACGTGAACAGCTACATGCTAGTGAAGAGCAGATTTCTGCTGTTTTGCCTATTCTGACTAATAGGACTTATTCATCTAGAATAATGAAATTGATTCAATGCCTAGTAAAATGGGATCTGACTTATTGTCATGCCACTTCACAACATTAAAAAAAAATTTTTGTAGTAGCAGGTTTTGTGAAAACTGCATTTTTTTTTACTAGTTAACAAATAATGGTATATATTTACAGCATACAGCATGATGCTTTGAAATATATTTACACTGTATAATGGCTAAATCAAGCTAATTAACATATGTATTATCTCACATGCCTGTCATCATTTCTTTGTAGTGAGACAGTCAAAATCTGTTCTCAGCAATTTTCAAACATACATTATCATAAAAACGCAGTCACCATGTTGTACAATCAATCAAAATCCAGAGTCATTCTTTGCTGCCTCCCAAGCACCAAGCCCACCAGTTCTCCATCCCACATGTCTTGAAGGTGCTGTCTCCTCTCCTGTGTTTGCCGACATTCTCTCTTTATTCACTCGTTAAAGATGTGCTCTATTGGAACATTGTGCTCAGGGCTAGCAACACACTGGAAAGATGACTATCAGTAAGTGAAGTTGAAACCACTGTAGTCATTGGTCTACCAGAAGCCAGGTCAGTGAATATGCAGGGGAGAGTAGGATGTGCGGGAACCTGAATCCAGGCTTCTTCCTGGCCTGAAACTTCTGAGAAAGCGTCAGCCTCACGTCCATTCTGCCCTTTTCCCTACTGGCTGAGCTTTTCCAAAGTTCAAATCAGATTGGGCCCTCCCTCTTTTTTTTTTGGAGAGATTTTCACTGTAGGGCGCGTGTGCTCGCCAGACAGACAGAGAGAGACATAGAGACAGAAAGTGAGAAATCACCCCCCAGGGGGGATGGTCACGCCGCAATCCCTTCTCCTCCATTCTCCTCTTGGGATCTTGGGCACGCACGCACACGCGCCCAGCGTGAGTTTTAAGCCACCGGGTCCGGGACGCGAACCGTGGTCGACTACATGGGAGTCCAGCGACATAGCCTAACTGCTGGTTCCCCCTCCCTCTTATTAAAACCCTTCCATGATTCCCTTCTGTGGTAGGACAAGTTCCAACTAAAACCCTCCAACTCAACATGCCTTTCTTGTTTTATTTTTTTTTCTCATAGCACAGTTTTATATAAAAGTTGCTAACTTTATAGTCCATGAAATAAATAGGAAAGTACAGAAATGAAAATACCCAGTCTGCCTTAAAAATGTAGCACCGATATCATTTTCATCCACCTTCTTTCCCCCTTGACAATCAATTCAATGGATAATTTTCCTAATGATTGCTGTTCGCACTTTACATAGCTGGTTCGGATATCAAGACACTGAGTGGCTTTGATGAACAGAGAGAATCAGTGAGGCTATTTACTGTCCTGATGTACTCATCAAAGTAACACAAGTGCTTGCATAGAGCTATCCATCGGGCCAACAGAAACAAGTTCTTAGGTCCTGCTCTAAGAAACACTGAGTCCGTCTTTACAGAGAAGTGAGATCTCAGGAGCGGATGAGAGCTGACCACCTCTCCCTTTACAGGGGCAGGCCACTATAATGATTTTCATTCATTCACTCAGTCATCCATGCGTCAGTATTGAGTATTGGCTAGAAACCACGTGTTACAAACATGAACATTATTCCCAGCGCTCACAGTTCCTCTCTAACAACTTCTGTGATTTGATCTGAAAGCTGAGATCCTAAGAGTAAGCCAGGTCTCTATCAAGGAATTAGGGGATTGGGAGGGAGGCACATGAGATAGTTTTAAATAATAAATAAAGAGGTCTTTGGTAGAAAGAAATTTGTGTGTGTGTGTGTGTGTGTGTGTGTGTGTGTGTTTAAAGAAAGGAGGTGGGGGTATGGTAGTGGGTGAATGAGAAATTGCTTCCCTGGTAGAAAGTGAAAATGTAAACATAGCTAAGAAAATATACAGTGTGGGAACTGGCAGATGACGTAATGATTACTCTGCAGGACTCCCACGTAGTTGACCACGGTTCAAGTCCCGGACCCGGCAGCTTAAAAACTCACACCGGGTGCATGTGTGTGCCCAAAATCCCAAGAGGAGATTGGAAAAGAAGAAATTGTGGCATGGTTATCTTTCCTGGAGGATGATTTCTCGCTTTCTGTCCCTCTGGCGAGTGCATGCACCCTATAGTAAAAATCTCTCGAAAGAAAGAAAGAAAGAAAGAAAGAAAGAAAGAAAGAAAGAAAGAAAGAAAGAAAGAAAGGAAGGAAGGAAGGAAGGAAGGAAGGAAGGAAGGAAGGAAGAAAAGAAAAAAGAGAAAAGAAGAGAAAAGAAAAGAAGATATACAGTGTGTTTGAAAAATTATGGCAAGTTCAGTGTGACTTGAGAGAGGCAGCAAAGGGGAAGACCGGGTTACAAAGGAAGATGAGCAGGATGCAAATTGTAGAGGGCTGGCCAAGGAGCTCAAATTTTCTCTGTAAACAATAGAGAGCCTAGAGAAATCTCTAAGCAGAGATGTGGCATGATCGGTCTTGGAATAAAAGTCTGATTTTGGTATAGAAGATGAGTTTGAGAAAATCAGGAATTAAAAAGATGTGTTTTAGAGGTGACTATACCAAGGAAAACTCTATGACCGTCCCCCAACTAACTGCATGTTTATTCCTAGTGACGGTGCTGGCCATTTTCCACGAACTGCACGTCGACCCCGACCTGTACACACTCTTGTTTGGGGAGAGTGTTTTGAACGATGCAGTGGCTATCGTCCTTACATAGTAAGTACCAGAACCGAGCCTGCATGTCCTTAACCATGCGAAAGACGCTTCCACTTGGCGATAATTCCTGATGGTTTTACTAGTCTCTTTTCTCATGTCATAAGAGTTACAGGCAATTTCTAGCTTTTGAGGAATTGTTATCATAGAAAATCTCCAGTAATGGGCATCATTCATTAGGCACCTAATTTCTAAAACTATTAATGGGTTTCACGTTTCCAGCTTATTACAAGATACGACCCAGAGGATAACATCTTTTTTTTCCTCAGTGCGTATATTTAGCTGATTCACTTAAGGTTCCTAAAATGCACATAAATGAGTTTTCCTCATTTCAAATCAGTATTATTTAATTTTTTTCTTCATACTAGTCACTTTGCAGATAACGGACTAAAACAAACCTTTTTTATTTCTATGAGTTTGGCAGATTGGAGTTGGAACATGAGGCTCAGAATGCGCTTTTCAATTCTTAATGTAAATATAATGCTTTATAGGAATGCACTTATCTTTAAGTCATCACATGACAGGTGAAACTGATGGAGCCCGGCGAAGAGCCAATGTAATTTTCCTCCGTGTTAGATTTTCTTTTGGGGATGAGAACCGCTGCTCTTTCTTCACCTCCCCATTAGACACTTAACATTTACATTTAATTTGCCACTTTAGTGGCTTTCACTATGTCAGAGGTCTCTTCTTAGTTTTAGATTAAGACCAACATTTTGGGCAACTGTCAGATATCCCTTAAGAAAGTAGCTATCTGATACTTAAATGTGACAACAGGATTCTATTCTGGGCGTTAATGACTTCAAATGCAGTGGGAAATGTATTGTGAAGTAACCAAGGGATTTTAAAAGTCAGCTCTCACAGAGGGGAGTCGAAGACAACAGAACAGCACTTATCTCTCTCTCTCTCTCTCTCTCTCTCTCTTTCTCTCTCTCTCTGTCTTTGCCAGTTGACATTTCTTAAGACTGCCACCCCAAAGTTGCCACCAGTTCAGCAGCTTTCAAATGAGAATTTCCAAACACATGCACGTTTCACCTAGTCATGGAGAAATGCTTTCAAAGGCCAAGCAGGAAGGATCAGCCAGGGCAAAGTGAGAGCAAAAGCCATGCAGATTCTCATGTGCTAAAGGGTCCTTTTAAAGACATACCACGAACAAGGCGTTAGGACATTGGGAATTTGTCCAAGAAATACTAGTACTAAAGGAACATTTGGAGTAAAAATTCTAAAAATCTGCTGAGTCCCTAATTTTTACTTCCTGAGCTGCCAAGTTGTAAAAGGCCAAGCAAAGCAAAACCACCAAAGTGCAAATGAGCTTGGCAAAGACTCATGCAGCCACAACCTAGGGGAAGCCTGGCCTTTCTGCTTTGAGCACTTGCATTCACAGTAGTTTTCCATTTAAACACACACTCTAAGGATGAATGTTGATACTGGTGAGCACAAGCCTGGGCTTTTTAAAAAAATTTTAAGAGGTTTTGCCTTAGGGAGCATGTGCTCTGCTGGGGAGAGAGAAAAGAGAGAGAGAGAGAAGGTGAGAAATCTGTCCCCCCAACCCCACCCCGGGGAGATGGCCGTGCCCAATCCCTTCTTCTACATTCTTCTCTCAGGATCTTGGGCACACATGCACACAGGCACACATGCCAGCATGAGTTTTAAGCTACCAGGTCCAGGACTTGAACCACAGTCACCCATGTAGGGGGCCAGCAGGTGGCATAATGGTTACATCACTACGGTCACTGCTATGCCATCTGCTGGCTCCATCCTGGGACCATTTGAGACAGTCTTTTTAGTAGCTCCTAAAGTCAACATGTGAGTATGACTGGCAGTACCCCTCCTATAACTCTATTCATGTCTTAATAATAAGATGTGTTTTGGGACCAGCAGTCGGAGTGATAGCTATGTCGCCGGACTCCCATGTAGTAGACCATGGTTCGAGTCTCAGACCTGGTAACTTAAACTCACGCTGGGCGCATGTGTGTGCGTGCCCAAGATCCTGAAGGGAGAATGGAGGAGAAGGGATTGCACCATGGCCATTTCCCCTGGGGTACGATTTCTTGCTTTCTGTCTCTGTCTCTCTCTCTGTCTTTCTGGCGAGCACACACGCCCTCTAGCAAAAATCTCTCCAAAAAAATAACTAAATAAAATAATAAGATGTGTTTCACACAATGGTAAGATTGTTAGACATGAGACATTTGCCATTCTAGCTGAAAGTTTGTGCTCCCAAGCTTTAGCATTTACAGCTTTATGTCTGGTAACCCCAGTGAATTCCAGTTGAAAATAAAGTAATTCTACATAAGAACGTTTGACCCCCAAAAGTCCACACACGTATGTCCACAGGCTCGCTCTTTCACCTGGAGCATTTAGAGCCCCCCAGCCCCTTCGGTGAGCTCTGCTGAGTGATTCCTACCGATGACGTTCTGGACCCACTGCCTCTCCACCAGGGCCATCTACTGCTTGCTGCTTACCACCCACTTGGTTTTCCCTGCGCTGTTTTCTTCATTTTATTCTCACTTGCTTCTCAAGCTTAGTTCACACATTCATAACGATCTCTTTAGACACTGATTTCTATATACGTATTGTCTCTCCTTGTAATGCCCCATCCCCACACTATCTACCAACCATTTTCTAGTTCCTTTACAGAAGATCTATTTAAATATCATTTAACGGTTTTCCTTGGATTTCGTGCTAAAATTTCCAAACATTTGTCTCTCTACTTTTCTTCCTCTTTACACTAAACAGTGCATAGCACCCTGACATGAGTCTCAGGAGGGCCCCTCCCTGCCCTTGCACAGACCGAGTTCACTTCTCCTGGGTTGCCTTCCCTAGCTTCTGGTTTGCCTAATGAAGTCTTTCAACTCTTACCTTGGTCTTCCCTAGAAAGTTCCAGCCCCTTTGCAACCCCTGCCCACACCTCCATCAATTCCCTTCCAGTGCAGAACTAGATTTATGTTTATATTTGCCTTTCTGTATTAAAAGCAGAGTCTATATATTTGAAGTGTATATTAAAAGAACAATCGAAAACCTCTTAGGTTTTCCCTTTCTTAGTTCTACCTTTGTGTTTTTGAAGTTTAAGAATAGTGATCGAGCTTTTTCAAATCAAGGAAAAGTGATACATTTTGATGTGAAATCAGGTAATGGGAACCAGCAGTTAGCGTAATGACTACGTCGCTGGACTCCCACGTAGTCAACTGCGGTTCGCTTCCCAGACCTGGTGGCTTAAAACTCACGCCGGGCGCGTGTGCGTGCGTGCCCAAGATCCTGAAAGGAGAATGGAGGAGAAGGGATTGCGGCGTGACCATCCCCCCTGGGGGGTGATTTCTCGTTTTTTGTCTCTATGTTTCTCTCTGTCTGGCGAGCGCACGTGCCCTGTAGCGAAAACCTCTCCAAAAAAAAAAAAAAAAAATCAGGTATAAGAAAGAACCCAAGTCACTGATGACTGACCTTTTGACAGTGGCTCCAGAGTCCCTTTCAAATGGCCACTCATTTTCATTTACCTCATCTTCTGCCAGCAAATCTCTTTGCTAAAGAACAATGCTCTTCAGCTTTAGTATTTTTCCATTTTTAATTATTACTATTTTGACAATACTGTGCCCTAGTATTTAGCCACATTTTAGATTAAAGCTGCTTTTCTGGTTGAAGACGCAAATGATTAATTCTAATACTCTTTCTTAGGCTAAGTGTATCTGAGCTCCAGACAGCTGATAATTGAATGTGGTGACCACGGCTTTTGTACATAGCAGTGGGTGGTGGGTGTTGTATCATGGTCCTTTGGCTTAAAATGATTCACAGTTATTTGTGCTAAAAAGTAACCTTCTTGAACATAAAAGTTTTGGTATTAGCTTGTCTTTGACCCATAGTGTTATTTCAAGTATACCAGGAGTGCCATGCCCAAACATGTATGCATACTGACCCAGGAATGAATTCCACATGATGAATTTGCATTTCTAAAGCTTGTTTATCAGGTTATGAAGGAAAGCAAAATGTGTATTGGAGAGGCCTTGAGGAGTGTGTGTTTTTGAGTCCTGAACAAAGGCACTAATTTCAGAGACAGCATGATAGGGCAGAAAGAAGTTTAGATTTGAAGTCAAGTGATCAGTGGCAGAATTGCCATTAATTTACTATACAACTATGATAGTTGACCAGAAACCAACCCAAACTGGGTAAACAAAAAGGAATCAGCGTTAGTCAGTTTAACGAAACAGGGGGACTAGAAATGACTCAGGAAAAGACTCAGTGAATTGAGCAAGACTCCTTTTTTCACTCAACTTCTTCAAGGTCGGCTTCCTCTTCTGGTCACAAGACGGCTTTCCACATTCCCCAGGGCTGTCTGTCTCTTTCTTCAGGAGAATTAGACCAAGAATATTCCTCTCACCATTCTCAGCCTAAATTTTAGCGCATCTTACATATTCTGATGCCGTTCCAGGCCTACTTGGAACTGATATTATGGCCGGGGGATTGTCTTGCGATTTTTGGCTCAGTTGTGAGTCCCATGTTCCACAAGTTTGAGAGTATAACCAGCTTCACTCAGAAGCACAGACACCCAGACCAGAGATGGAGGAAGACAAATATACATTGCCATGATAAAGGAAGAGTGACTGCTGGCTAGACACACACACACACACACACACACACACACACACACACACACACACAACCCTATACGACTCTCTAGACATACACTCTATATGTCGACTCTCTAGCCATAAACTCTCTATGCTTGTTCCTATCTATAAAATGTAAAAATGGTTGTTCCATATATATAACAAAATTATTCTAAGCAATAAATAAAACAATATAGTTGAAAAGGATCTCTGATCTCTATAATCTACTCAGTTTATGCTCTATAAGTAAAATACACTTATTATCACTTATATCATCATTTATATCTATACCTTTCATTCTACTTACACAGATCTGTCTGGTTTTATTAAAATAACTAAAGATAGACCTGCTTCTAGTGAAGCATTCCTTCATAAATATAGCATTTTATGAACCAAGGAATATAAAGA